GAGGTACGAGAGATTTGGAACGAAAACGAGTACGATGACAAACATGGGGATTTTACAAGATGTGTGCGAATCTCTAGGTTAAACTATCTAACGTACGAATGACGGACACTCTCTGGTCCAATTAACGAGATAAACGCATCTCGCATCCTTTGGCACAGTCACCTTTATTTGAATGACCACATCGACTCTCCAAAAAAAAGAGGAAGCTTGCTTCACAGAAATCTTTTGCAACCCTGGTACCCACATCTCTAGGGATTGGATAGCGGAATGTCGGTGAACTTTGATGATTTAGTCTCCCTACAGTCCGAAGGAGATTGCAATAGAGGGGAAACGAAAGCTCCTCTTTCCCCCACGCTGCTTCAGATGCAATACAGTGACCCAAGTGGCTTGACGATTGACCAGTCTCCACCCTCACGAAGATTGCAATCAGATGATGATTCGAACTCCTTGACAAATGACGAATTACACAAGCATACGGGAGTCCATATGTACCACCAAAATAACGTGATGATCGGGAACTTTCTTCACCCCGTTGATCGTTCAAACAGCAGTCGCCCGTCGTACAATGTAAAGGCTTCATTGCTCCACCATAATGGACAAGGCGCCAACAATGTCAGTATGGCAGAGCTTTTCTTGAGCAATGAATCCGCACGCAGGCGGAGCCTAGAACAGAATTACGAAAGTTTGGGAACTCTTCTTGCAGATGGCGGCATTGATACTATGAAGCGGCGATCAAAAGACAACAATTCACTTGGGGATCAAAAAAACAATGGACCAGATGCTTCCCAGATAGAAATTGACGATTTAGTTGCAGCTGTTGACCCCACACCCTGGTCTGAGATTAGGAGAAAGATTCAAACGGACGAAGAAATCGCAAGAGATGTAGCAGGAGCGTCATCTCCACAACGCTCCCCTGCTCACCCACACCACTCCAACTACTATCCATATGGAAGACACCATCAATTACCGATTCCTAATAACGTGGCGACTGCAAGACAAAGAATGTCGTCGCCAAATCGACAAGTTGAGAAAAAGAAGGACGGGCAATCTACAATGGAGGAAGCAATAGCTACAGCAGCTGCGATTGCATGTGGTCAAAAGGGAGTGACTAGTATTTCAAGACCTACAATAACTCCACCTCCTTCCCAGGTGAAGCCCCCCGGCGAACCGTCGCCATACATCGGAGCCCTGCAACTTCAAAATGGAAAATCAAAATTTATTGCCAGACCCTTTCAACGACAGCTGGGATCGTATTCGTATTCGCAGTCGCAACATTCAGCTGCTCATTCAACAAATCGCGCATCTGTTCTTGCAGCTGCAAGTAGAAAATCACAGTATGGTTTCGGCGGTAATCACACTGTCCCTTCAGTACCAGCACCACCTCCAGTCGCCAAACGAAAGGAAATGACAGCGCAACAAACACATACCCTCCCTACTTCACAGCGGGACCATTTCCCCCCACCAAACTGTGGCGCTGCATATGAACGAAAGAAACAGCGAGCAAAAGACGCACGAATCAAATTAAATGAAGCGATTGAGAGTCTTTCGATTGCAATTGGGCTTGCCGGTTCTCAATCAAGACAGAGGCACGAGTTCTTGAGTTCGCGCATAGTAGGCACTGTCGATCGCGAGAAGACACTACGAATGAGTGCAGAGTGTTCAAAGCTGGCAGAACAAGCCAAAAAATGGGACAGGCCAAGCTTCGTAGGGACTGCTGCGTCGATAGTACAAGGGTTGAATTCACAATGCGAAGCATTAATGAGGGAATTGGTGACTCTAAATGAGCGGTTGGACGAATCGTCGCCTTACTGTGCAGTGAACGAAAGCCCAAATTCTTCGATTCAGAAACGAAACCAGTACTCTAGCCCTGGGTTAAATAATGCGGACGGGCATGTTGCAAAGCGACTGCGACCATCACCTCAAGCTGATGATACAAAGAAATTGGACCCCGCGATCCAAAGATCAAAAGAGAATGAAAGCAATGTTTTTGGTTTGGTGAAAGACTTCTTGGATCCAATTTCAATGGTTCGTTCATTATCCGTGTCACGAGTATGGCGAGATATAGGTGTTTTTAGCAACGGTGATGCTTGGTTCAACTTTGCAGTCAAAAGATTTGGATTCTACAATGTTCGTCAATGGACAGAAAAACTAGAAGATTGTGGAAAGAAAGTCTCAAACATGTCACTGTATAAATCCATGAATTCAGCGAATGTAATGCCGCACTTCGAGAAAAATAATCTTTCACTCATTGGGGACTCGAAAATCCCAGGGCGAGTTAGTGGCTGGGTTTTTATTGTTGAGCGAAGCAATGGCGAGACACTCAGAAGCGTGAAGACTGAGCCTGCAATACCTGCATCTACAAATGGAGCATTTCAATCCCGACCTGTAGTGGAGCTCAGGGTACTGATCCAAAACACGGGGACGGCGGACCAACCTATAGGTATTCGAGACCAAAAGATAGCAATCGATGTATCAACAAGACGCTCTGGGGGCGAGTTGAACGAAATCGACTGGGATAGTCGATTCAAGAAAGTAGTGAGAACACTGGATGGGGAAACCATAGATTGCTCAATAAAGCAATCAAGATATGACACCAGCGGGGATCTATGTCACTTGAGGTTGTTCGATTCGGTCTTGATCGAGGTGTACATCAATGCTTGTGGATGCTCAACGACATCAAAGTTCCAACAAAGAAGCAACTTCACGAAAATACTAATTTGTTTGGAGGGTACAACAATTCCGTTGGTCATTCCTTTCCTCAACGACCACGTAGGCAAGTAGAGTGCGTTAAGATGCATTGCGTGGCATACCGGTAGGTACCAGGTACCGGTACATTAGGACAGTTTCGAATGTCAATCCCATACCAATTTCAATCCCGAGTATAAATGTGTGGCGAAGGTGTCATGACCGTGTGGCAAATTCGGGCATTTAGCGAAACCGAAACCGCCAAACCCAACTATAGCTTGTGAAACGCGCGCTAATTAATGATGACGCGGTAAAACTGAAAACTGTTTTAACACGGGGATATCCTGGAAATCCCGGGGAATAAAAGGGAACTTTTAGGGAACTTTCAGGGAACTTTTAGAGAATTTTTTACGGAACTTTTGGTAGATTAATTGAGGCTCCCCAAATGCTATCCCTGCTTTCAAATTCAAATTGTGAATTATTATTTTATGCCATTGACATCGGTTTTGGACAATCCAATACCATCAACAAGCGCACTCTTCACTGTCCATAGCCTACAATGAACACTGGAGCGACTGATAATGCTGGACAATAGTAGTTGAAGGATTGGAGAACCAGCGATGCGAAAAAAGAGCTCAAGAAACTTATCAAGCTTAACGTGATAAGGTTGGGCTCCTGACTCTCGCGGTTCAAGCAGCTTCATAGACAATTAACATGAAACAGCGGGATTATGACTGAGAAAATGGGACGCCAGTATAACTGCTTGCACAAGCAGACGTACGATATTCTTCGGAAAGCGGAAGCGAAGTGTCGAATGGTTACAAATGGGGCTGTCCCGTGGTCTCCTCAGATCCAAAACTTTTGGGATCGCCAGTCTCTACTGCTGAAGGGAAGGAAGCAGTGTCGAGTGAGCTCGCGGAAAATCCGTCGCCTTATGAAGAAGACTAAGTTGCCCGACGCCTGGAAGAAGACCACGGTTGAATTGGAGACGGCATTGCGTAATGACAGGAAAGAGTACTTGCATGCCAAGAAAAACCACACAGTTACATGGCGCAAGGAGTTCTTGACTGTTCAAGTGAAGAAATCTAAGAAGAAACAATGGACATCGCGGAAGGCTAGAGATCGCTTTTTGAGGTTACGGCGGATGAAGCAACGAGAGGAGGCAAGACGCCGCCGCCGCACCCAGTCAAAAGGATCTACCGGTGGTTTGCAAGCGATTCAAGTTGAGGAGCAGTTACCTACCAGAAAAGTGGATCTTCGAACTCTCACTGACCGGAGACAAGTTGAGCAAGGGTGCATGCAGGAAAACCGTGCACGGTACGACCAGACTCGATCGCCCTATACGACTGCTCCCATGGACGAACCCCTGTATTCAATGTTCAACGGGGCGGATGGAAAAAGGAACTCCTACGCCCTACTGGAGGGCCGCCTTCCAATGCCGGATGGGATCAATTCTTACACTCAGTCATTCCTGGAGCAGTGCCGGTTCCATCAAGGGCACTCCATGATCCCAATGGAAGTGTCGCCTGACGATCATACTTACTTCTGGTCTCGTAATCCAGAGAACAAGAGCTCGGAACCGCAAGGGCTACATAACGGTCATTTCAAGGCTGGGATCTATTCTTCTATGGTGGCCCAATGCGACGCTCTCTTCCGCCACATACCCTTGATAACTGGGTTCGTCCCTGACAACTGGCGGCATCTGATGAATTTTGAAGCCAGGCAACTTTCGGCTGACAAGAATGCGTACAATTCAGCTCATGAATTCTGAATCCCAAGCAAACTACAAGAAACTGAGCCGCCTGGCCTTGGCCTACGGTGAAGAACATCACGTCCTGGCCGATGGTCAGTGCGGGTCTTGAAAGAACCATCAAGCGATCGATCTTGCCCTGTCTAAACGTCTGGTGTGGGACCTGCTGATTCTCCAGCGCCGCTCAGCGGGATGGATTTCAAATGATGCAAAGTCTTGTTTTGATCTGGTCGTCCATTGGGTTGCAGTGATAGCCATGATGCGTCTGGCGATTACTTGGAATGTGTTGCGCATGATGTTTGACACTCTTGTAACTTCCACGCATCGTGTTTGGACGGGCTTTGGGGACTCTGAAGAGAGCTTTCATCCCCCTTCCATAGTACCATTCCAGGGGTGCGGCCAGGGCAACGGAGCGGGCCCGCCCATATGGGTTTCGGTGAGCTCCATCATCATCCAGGTGATGACCGCAATGGGCTTTGGCTTTGAATGCCTTACAGCAATCGACTCTCACCTGATCACCGCTCAGTGCATTTGCTTCGTCGACGACATGGACGTGATCAAAGCAGGCAAGTCCGTGGAACAATCTGGCGAGGATATATGCCACTCCGTCCAACAAGCGGCTTCCATATGGGCTGGAGGCATTAGTGCTACTGGAGGTGCAATTAACCCAGAAAAGTCCTTCTGGTGGTTGATCAACTTTGTTTGGGACTCCAGAGAGGGCAAATGGCGGTTCCGCCGGACGCACCAACTCCTACCGGATCATAAATTACAAATACCGGGACTGACTGGCGAATTGGAAGCCTTACGCCGTCTGGAGCCGGATGAGGCAGAGAAAACCTTGGGGGTCATATTGGCCCCATTGGAAGATCAACAGGCACGCGTCGCCCACCTCAAGAGTATCTCCAAAAAGTGGGCGGAGCAAGTGCGATCGGGGCATCTACACAAATACGATGTCATTCCCCTTATCAAGACAACGGTGATGAAATCCTTGGAATATCCTATGGTGTTAACTACACTGGACGCTGCGACATGGGTGTCGATTATAAGTCCCGTTCTCCAAGTCTGTTTGCCGAAAGCCGGCATCTGCAGGAGCTTCCCTCGCGACATGGTTCTTGCCCCTCTCAGATTCCAGGGTCTGGGCATCCCTCATCCGTTTGGCACTCAGGTGTCCAAACATATTGAGGTTCTGCTACGTCACTTGTCCAACCGAACTAAAACTGGGGCGTACATGGAGGCTGCGGTTCAAGAACACCAACTTGAGACCGGCACCTCCTTCGGACTCTTCCAGCAGGACTATAGCAACACGGCAATTTTGGCGTCGAATACCTGGCTCAAAAGAGTCTGGAAAGAGTTGGAGGACTTGGATATCTACGTTGCTCTCGACACTCCAGTCCTCCCTCTCCGGTGTGAAGGCGATGCTTTGCTCATTGAGGTATTTATGGAGTTGGAAGTGGACCAGGACGCTCTGAAGTGGCTCAACTGGTGTCGTATGTTCCTCCAAGTTTGCACCGTCTCCGACATCGTGACGGCCGATGGCCGCAGCATCCGGGAGTCAATGTGGCATGGGGAACGTGACTACACTCATCGTTCTTCATATCAATGGCCTCGCACTGCCCGACCCAACAGGAACCACTGGAGGGTGTGGCAGGAGCACCTTACTCGAGCATATATATATAACTGAATCATTAATTGGTATTATGCTACTTCTAGAGTATCCAACTGCCGGTGTAATACGGCTGTAGAGGCCAGGAACTAGGTTGCTTTTGGTCAACAAAGTTTGAACCACGTGGA